TGAGGGACTCTGTATTCGGCACTTCAGACAGAGCACACTGCGCTTCCTCAAGGAAGGTCTCATATTCTCCCTCGAAATTTGGCGCATAGACCTGTACCAAGGTCATCGATTTAGCCTGTTGTAGCTTCAGTCAGAGGATTACCACCCTTTCGCTGGTAGGCTTCCTATCGGTAAGGCTGGGTTCTACCAGAACGCCAACACCGGCCTGAGCGCGAGTCGTGATATCGACGCCTGAATAGAACAGCTTCCATTCATTGAGGTTCAGGAGTCCAGAGCCTGGGCGTTTTGTTGACGAGAGTCCAACAGTGTCGAGTTGGTACTTCGTGGCCTCATCAAGTAATTCATGTTCTTTTCCTCTGAGTGAGGATATGTTTCAATATGCGACTTTAAGCTCCCACTGTCATTCTCGTGGACCCTTTTCTGACGTTCTATAATGGCATCGCGTTGTCTGCCTCCTCCGTTCGAAACGGGTAGCGGCTCCGTTGCTCACTGATATCTTCGTCGTCGTTCCATCGGTCTTCGTCAGCCGTTGTTGTGCTGCTGTGCCCCTGACTGGCAGAGGGCGATGAGCAATTTCTGATCGCAGTCTGCCTCAGTCCCCCACAGCCTTAGCGGTCTTTGGTAACACGGGCGACGTCGTAGCGGGTAATATTTCGATGACGTGAGTATCATGGAGAACAGGTGGCGAACCTTTACGGAGACTTCGCCCCGGTCTGAAACCCTGCTTTTTTGTCAACCGGGCTTGGGACCTGCGACGGCGATGATATTTCACATTTTTATCTCGGTTGACCGGTCTGGATTAGATTAGTTTTTTCTTGAAAGGTAGATGAGGCAGTGGTTCCTCGTGTTTAGAGATTAGTGATTTATGACGCATTCCACACATTTGCTTTGGATGAGGATAAATCTGTTGAGTTGGATAGATGTAATAGTTCTAGCGCTTTTTCTGACAACTACAACGACGTACTGTCATCGTACATTTCAAGCACAATTAGCGGTAGTTATGGAACATAAAATATTTGTATAGATACCGTTCACGGTGGAAAACAATTATTTTAATGAAACAGAAGATTCGACTAGTCGTCCGCAGATAAGTTGTCTGAGGAATTGTTTAACAAATTAATAATTATTTTTTAGGTAACCAAGATCAATGTTAGATCTCAAGTGCTTTACTATGTTGATCTCCCGTTTCCGTCGACCTGGCGCAATGACTCGTTTTACTACAGCTCGACTCAGTTGCCTCATTTGATCAATTCGTTGGAAAGTTTTATGGGCACGTTTGTCAGTTCGAACCCGGTCATTTATATTGTGTTGTTCATTCCTCCGATGTTTAATCGTCCACTGTATATATTGGACCACGGTGGCAAGAGGGCTGAGTACAATAGTTTTGTGGTAGCCGGCTGGGGTGGTGTGGTGGTGGACAACGAGGCGTTCTCCAGCGAATTCGCACCGTTCGTCAGCACTGCAGCACAGGCGTCCATGATCGCCATAGTCAGGAACTACTTTGGACTGAATCTACCCAAGACGGACCTCGCCATCAAAAGAGACTCCATACAGCCACTTTGCGAGTGGGAGGTACAGAAGTTGTTGTACCACGT